ATGCCGATTTTATGATAAATCCAATGACTTTTCGCTAGTTACTACGCTTTTCTCCGTGATTTAAAAAATCCTGACATTTTTAGTACTACATTTTCACAGCACATGGGTTATGAATCACGCATTAAAATAATGATTTTTTACGTGCTCTAATTGTGCCGATTTTGACATAAATATAAGAGGTGAAACGTTATTTTCTTCCTTTTTTGGCAGTTATTGATGTTTTGTGATTTTGATTATCCCGATATTTAAACAAAGATTAGAACTCATGAAATTTGATTCTTTTTTTTTTCTTCTTTTTAGTTAATTTAAAAAGTACTTACGTATTTTAGAGAAATCGATTCCTTTCCAAAGAGAATAATAATAATAAAGAAATAAAACGAGATATATAAATATATATTAAGCGCGAATCCCTTATCCAAGGGAACATTTCAATACACTTTCACAATTCTATAGTTTCATGAACATGTGCATGTTTAGCAACACATATCCAACATATTCTTTTTCGTGATCACATGATTTAAAAATCACATGTCGTGATTCGTGCGTTTTTAAAATTATTTGGTTTGATTCTTCTCGTAATTAAGTCACCCATCGTGAGTCGTATTCTGGCGTTTAAAATATCATACACTGTGAATCCTCTCGCAATTTAAAAATCTCGCATCTCGATTTGTGTTCATGCATCGCGTGTTTTATTCACGCTGTTTAAATATCACACATAACAATTCGTAAAGTGATTTAAAAATCACACATCGCTACTCGTATTCACACGCTTCAAAAATTAGAAAAGGAAGAGCACCATGTGGGACAAATTCCAAAAACTGATTAAGTTATTTGCCTTAAGTTTAAAGCAGATCACAAGATCAGATTCTGCAGAAAGACTGTTTTCCAGAAAGAATTGGGCTTGTTCTAGAGTTTGTGGAGCAGTCTTTAAACAAAATTATTAAATTTTCATTTAATATCCCGAAAAAGCTATCAGATGATCAAGTAGATAAAATTATCACAATATTTGAAAATTTGCACATCGCAGGTTAAACCGTAAGAAATTTTTTAAGCCATTTGCTATCTACATGGACCATCTTGTATCATTTATCATCATATGCTGGGAAATTTGTATATCCTTAAATTTTAACAGAAAAAAAAAGTTTAATCAAGATGAGTAGCGTAATGTAAATTTTAATTAGCTGTTAATATATATGTGTATTAATAGTAAGTAGTAACATGTTAAAAAAGTATTGGTCATAAAGAGTTGTAAACAAGTATCTTAATAGTTTTTTATTATTAAGGAAAATAATTCCTTCAAAATTAATGCTTATTTTCGTTTCTCTTATAATTTATTTAAAATGTTTTAAAGTTAGTTTAATACTAATTTGCCTACTAAATGTTGAATCTTATTATTCCCTGTAAGGGTTTTGTTTTAATTTTACATCATTTTTAGTCCTGCAAACTTTCTTTAAATTATTCAACTTGCATTTAATTTATCAATTAGTATATTTAATTTTTTTTTTAATTTTAATTGTACTAACATTACAAATTTTTAATGTTAAATGAACTTTATTACGCAATGTGATGAAACAAAAAAACATGCATTTTCTCATTAATTTTTACTTTATCTGAAATTTTCTTCTGATAATTGATTCTGTTCTTTCCCTAAGTAATCAGCTTTTAATTTTAAGCACTTAAAGATATTCAATTTTATGCAAACATATAACATGTCTTACTAAATACTTGGCATGCGGCACTTCAATAGGCAATTTGCTGTGAATGTGGCCCTTCACTCAAAAAGGTTGTGCATCCCTATGCAAATTACTGTACAACTTTTTTCACATCTTCCAAAAAAAATTTTTTTTTCGTCTGTTTATAAAATGTTTCATTTATAAGGGTATATAATAAAAGAATTCGTGATGTTACGCATGAGAATTTTCTTAATTATGTCATGCTAAATTAAGTTTCATTCCAAGTAAATACAAGACTCTACTAATATCCAAACACCTTAATTTGTTCTACTTCTTTTTTTACCCACAAGCCCTAATTTTACATTTTTTAAATTCATTGCATTAAATATCTTATGAAACTTTATACAGGATAAAAGTACGATTAAGCTTGAGAGGATTTATAATTTTCAAACTAAGAATAAGATATTTCATATACGTATTAGTTTTCAATGCTATAGATTAATTAAATAGTCTAAAACGATTTTTCATGGTCAGAAAATTTTTAAGGTTCCTTAATTAAAATATAAATTTATTTTTTCATAATTTTCTTGTCACTCTTTTGTAAAATAATTCTCTACTATTGTTATGATTCAGTCATTAAAAATAGTAAGCGATTTAAATATTTTGAAATTATTACTGAATGGCAAATATGTTACATTAATTTTTATAATTAGCTATATATAAAATTATTTCCAGCCAAAACTGTTATTAGGAATTATTATCACATATTACTAAGTAATCTAGAAAAAAAACATTTATCTTTTACTTACAGCTGGTACAATGGTGCACCCTAAGCAAAAGGATTAACTAATTTTAATGCAACCATTTTTTACCATAAAGGGTACCATCTTAAGCAAAAGAAAAAATTTATAAAAAGAACCAATATATTAATGAAATGACATCTCTGCCTGTCGCCCTAAAATGTCTCATTCCAGGAGATAAAAGAACGAATTGTTGTTTCTAATATTTTTGTAAGACTAAAAAATTGTTTCTATCAACTATAATGATACTGAAATTTGAGGAATTTTTACTAAAATCTTGTACCATAGCAAAATTTAAGCAGTTTTCAAGGACCAAGGGAACCCTGTAAATAACGTTGAATTAGAGCTTCAATAATTAAAAAGAGATTATAGCATAAAATGGTTTTTTTTTTATATTGGTGTTTATTTAAAATTGAAACAGTTTTTAAAATTTAACAGTTTCGTATACTGGAGATTCGATTGCCATTTTAATAATAATAATAATGAAAAATGGAATAAATTTGAAGTGAATATGAGCATCTAACAGCTTATTTATGTCAAGAAAAAATATTACAGGGGAAAAGTTAATTGATATTCTAAATACATAATTTATTAATATAAATAGTTTTTTTTTTCCAGTTAGAATTCTGTAAAATGATGCACAAAGTTTTGATGAGATAGAATCTTAACTAAACATTCTCTCTTTAAAAAAACAAAAAACTTTTTGTAAAAATTATACACCTCGCAAAAAAAAAAGCGGGTGCTGCTTACAGGATATATTATTAAAAGGTACATTAACTCTGCAGAGTGAGAACAGAAAATTAGTTAAAAAAATGTGCATATAAACACAGTAATTGTTGAGAAAAACCAAACACAATAGTTTTATTATATACAGCTTAAAGATGACATACAAATACATTCTAAAAATATTGAGTTGCCCTTCAAAAGGTAACACTGAAGTTTTAAACATGCTCTTCGTTCAAAAATTAAACAAATTAAAATATACAGCTGATTGAACCAATTTTCATCACCTAGGACAGACAAGATGTTTAATAATGACAGGCTGCTCCAGCTTCCACCTCTAGGTTAAGTAAATGCTTCTAAATTTGGCTCTCCTCAGAATGATGAAAAGAACAGACCTGAAATTCAACTTTTAAAACATGCATGATTGCAACCATTTTCCACATCACCTAAGAGCAGGGCTGTAAACTCTCTATGCTTTTTTGAAGTGAAACTTCAAATTTTTACTTTCATTTTATTCTTACAATAATCTTAAATGAAACTCTTAACACTTTACAAATAACCAAAGTAAATACAGCTCTGCTCAAGAGGTACGGTTGCACAGATGCGTTGACCCCTTTTATTAGGTTGTTCCAAAAATATATAAAAACAGATTATTATACTTAAAAACCTAAACATGCTATAATTTAGCTCATTTTCTTTTAATTTCAAATGATTAAATATCTAAAAAAATAATAAATTTAAAACATTGCTTAGGGTTTAACATTTTATATAATCTATTATTATATATAGAAAACCAGGAACAAGTAATAAGTACACTATAATCATAATTCAATACGGAACAACCTAACAGCATATAGCAAGGCGGGTTCCCCAAGAGGCATATATTCCTTTTGTGTCATGACCATTAAATATTTTTAATCACTTAAATCTTTGAATTTTTTTTAATCCTTAACTTGAAGGGAAGAAAGGTTTACATTCTATAAATATCTTATGCCTTACATTACTTGGTTTTATAAAATTCTTAATCATGAATGGCACACTTGTTCAAATTTATTAAAAAAGGTAAAGAATGTTACGGATTTTATAAAATCCTTAGGCACTTATTGTTGGTTAAAATGGCCATGACACTATACAAAAGAACACCATTTATAAATCTTCTAATACAAGAATTAAAATGCAAAAATATTAATGAACATTTTCTTTATACTATACCCTTCTAGGATTGTTCAACAAAATTTGTTAATGTTTCAAACTGTTATATTGGCTCTACCATCCACAGAGCAATCGATAGAACCTGAAATTAATGTTAAACACTTCTATTTAAAACGATTATGAAAAACTGCTTCTACTACAGCAGTTTCGAGTCTTTATAGGAGGAAAAAAAAACCAGCATTATAAAAATAATATCTAAAGACAATTGGGAGTTTATTAACAAATTAAAGTATATTATATTCTGAAAACACAAAATAAAAGGAATGAAATTATTTTGATTCATTAATAATTACAAATCAGAATTTGTGTTTGGCAGTTGAATGCACATTCGTAAAGTTTTTGGTATAAATACAAAAGCAGAGAATTAAATGAACAGGGAGAAATATGGTTCCCATTGAAACGGGAGCTAAAAAGGTATAAACATTGAAAAGATTGTTAGAAAATCACATTCTTTCTTAACAAATTTAGCTATCCTATTTCAATTTGAAAAGAGTAACAGAAAATACATATATTCTTAAGAACCTTCTCATAATTTATTCAAGATATAACAACTAAAAAACAAAATTCTTTTTATTCATAGAAAACCCTTTTATTAAATAACCACTGAGTTCTATTATCTAGAAGGATAACGGCATAGCCAATTTATGTGAAATTAGACAAGGTACTTACCAATATGTAGAACAGTCACACCAAATCTACTAAACTCTTTTATTTTCTCCATTTATCATTTAATTTTAAATCCTGGAAAGTTTTGAAGCTGCCCATTGTGATCCAGAATTACATCAGGAAGATGGGGTTTCAAATAATTCAACTTTTAATCCTGGATTACTGAAGCCTTAACCACCTAAATAAAAAAAAAATTTTTATTAGAAGAAATACTATAACATGTTTAAACAAATACTAGATCACTGAGTGTGATAACTAATTATATTCTTTTGTGTGATAACTAATTATATGTATTTGTATTTCTTTTACATTCATTAAAATTATTTAAATGTAACTAATTATAAAACATATTTTTGATTTTATGCATACAATATTACATGAATTATTATACAATACTGAGTTATAAATTAGACCACATGTTTTCTGTAAGCGAATGCATGCCTGCAACCTAAACACATTTTACTGTAACAGTCTAAATTGTGATATCCGAAGATACAACACAGATACTATAATATGTAGCAGAATTATAGTCATACATTATTTACTGCACACTTACACGTTTATACATAATGTTAACAATCAAGCGACTACACTATTTAACACCAAAAAAGGTGACGCGAGTTAAAATAAATATATGAATTGAATAGTACGGAATAGAATATTTAAAATCCAAAACTATAAATAAAACTTTTGAAATTAATAAAACCCTACAAATCTGATAACATGCAAATCTAATAACATAACAAATCTGATAACATGCAAATCTGATAACATAACAAATCTGATAACATGCTTACGAAATTAAATATAATCGTAGTAAGTTTCTTTATATCAGCTATACGTTGTTTATTCAACATTTACACGTGCATAGGAAGAAAAAAAACACTTAACTATATCAATAATCGAGCGATTGTAATATGTATAAATATAAGATTTAACACGGGATGTAACATACAACATAAAAGTTGAATATTTTCAAAATTCAAAACTTATATAAATAATTAAACTTACCATAAGAGATTTAATAGATTATCCAAGTCTTAAAATGAAGAATTAAGTACTAAAATTAATAAAATCAATGTTTATCACTAGTGATTCTAACACGTGCTGCACTGAACTGCTACTCTACAATGGAGCCAAAGCACAAGGCAGGGCAAAAGCAAAGCGCTGGTTGGCGACTAAAGCAGCAAATAATGTAGCCACGAGAATTAAAATAGTAACCTTTTAATCGTTGCCAACATATAAAACAGACCTTCACTTCCTATTAATCTTAGGCGAAAATCTACAAAAATC